CCTTTACATTTNAAAGAATGGTTTAAGTATTGTATTCCACATTGGAATATTGTGTCTGTTTTAGTTGAATAGTGTATTCTAAATTCGAATATTATTGCATTCCATATTAGAATACCGTATTTCAAATTAGAACATTATTTATGTTATTAGCGTTAAGTTGTATATTCCAAATAATAAGAATATTGTGGTATGTTGGTTTTCAATATTACCATCTAAATTGGAATATTGTGAGTTTTATTTAGAGATGAATATTGTATTCTTATACATTACAATATTAATTGATTAATGGTAGTATTGAGTGAATACTTTTTAAAATTATTGGAATATTGCAGTTTTAATTTTGAATATTATAGAATCAATTTGTGAATTCGTGGGTATGCTATTATTCTATCATTTACATAGAGAAAGGAGGTGAATCTATTGGGATAACGGAAAACCTATATGATGGGGATGTCAAGGATGTGTCTGGTCAACACAGTAATGGTATTACAACTGTCGAATTTATCAATGTTGGTATTGCAGGTATTTCCCATGAATAGTTTTTTTTTACAAATGTTTACGGTCATAATCTGTTATTTGTCTAATTGGAATATATTGAGTACTGTGTAGATTCTATACATCACTAATTGGGATATACAAAGTAATTAATTAAGGATTTCCTATGTAAATTCCAAACTTAGGCATATAGCGAAAACAGATACTATAGGTGGGTATACGGTATTTTTTGCCCAAAGAAAAATGAGAGTAAGGGAGCACACGACTGTTCATTTGGGCTGGTACAAGAATGTAAATAGTTAATGGGCCACACAATTACTAAGTAGACTTGGTAGAAGTAACACCATATAACCACTTTAAAGGGCTGCTATTTAGGAATTAGCCAGTGCGTCCTGAATTTATGTTTTTCAGTTCAATTTTTCAGGTTTTTTCCTTCATTGTCTTGAAGTTAAGATTTTTAGTTTAAAATTTTAGGACAAAATAAATATTGATTAATTTCTAAATAGCATTTCTGAGAATGACTATCTGTGCACTTGCCTATGTTGATAGATCCACTCCACAAGCACAAATATATCCTACCATTTTTCATTTTTCTAGTTTCCATTTTTTTCATTGTGTATGATTGGAGTGATTCTTCAGAAGTCGTGTCTTCAAATACATTAAATTGTGCAACATACTACCAAAGGTTAGATGCTAAGTAGTAACTATCCCTTCGTCCTTAATGGTCCAGGGGTTTTAACTCTCAAACGAATTGTTTTTGCTAGAGAACGTATTATTTTACTGGGACTTTACGAAGTTAATTTAAATTACTCGGGCCCCAAAGTATGTAATGAAGACCAAGGGAATTTTTTTTCTTTAAACTAATGTGCCACGTCATTAATGATGGTGTTTTAACAAGTGATGCCGTGAAAGGAATTCGTTTTTGCTAGAGAGCATATTATTCCATTGGAACTTCACACGAAGTTAATTCAAATTAGTCGGGCCCCAAATTACGTAATGAATACCAAGGGAACTTTTTTTCTTTAAACTAATGTGCCACGTCATTGATGATGGTGTTTTAACAAGTGATGACGTGAAAGGAAATATTCCGTATCCTCTCCCTGCCCAATCATTCTTTTTCATTGAAAAACAAATGCAAGTTCAATTGGCATGGGAATTTCTTATGTTGGTGATGTTGATGCCTAGAATTATAGAAAGAGACTGATTTGAAATTTATAATTAGCGTGTAAAGCGAGTGAAATTTATTATTCATATACCAATTGTTGTTTAACAACTTTTTAACAATAATTTAGAGATTGTCCATTGTTTCAACTCTAAGTTCCTCTAACAATGAACTTCGCCAGAGATCTTCTATTTGTAGGAATTTTTAAAATTATAAAGCGTAAAATGATAACAAAAAGTTTAATTTATATACAAGGATTATATTTACACTGTCAACATAATTTGATATGTTTCTTATTTTTCAAATTACTAGTTTTATCATTGTAACAATTAGAGGCAAACCTACTCCATACATAGAGGGGTCACCGCCACCTGTAAAGTTCAGCAAAATTTTTATATATACATATTTATGTCTTTAGAAAATAGTGTTATATTAGTAGTGGACACCACCACCAACAACAACAAACCCAGTTTGATCCCAACAGGTGGGGTCTGGGGAGGATAATATATACTCAGACCTTACCCCTACGTAATGCAGGTAGAGAGGCTGTTTCCAATAGTGGACACCCTAAATATAAACAATTTCTTAATTTATTAATCAAAAGGTGTACTCCCGATCTTCAAATTATGGGTCCGCCTTTAATAGCAATTACATATAATTATTTTTGGTATGATCTGATAGTGTAAAAATTAGTTGGAATATAAAATTTAAACACGAAATAATCAACGGAAAGAACAAAGGAAAAAATAGGTGGAGCACAAGCACAACGAGCTCACAACTATAGAGCTACTTGCTCAGAAGAGAATATAGAACCACGTTATATTTCAAAAAAACATGCCAACCAATAAATTAATTAAAGTTGCTTGATTTCAATAATTTTGTTCCAAATATCAATCAGCACGTATTTCTCTGTCCTTCCTTTGTTTATTACTACGAGATAGAGATCGAGTCTCCAATCTGGGCGGAGCCAATGAAGACGTTACGGGTTCATCTGAATCCAATAATGTTGGTTTAGGTTTTGTATATGTGTTAAAAATCCAGCTAAGTGTAAGAATAGAGATTGAACCCTGTAAATTAAACGCGATATGGTAATTTTGTATTTAAATTCATATAATTTAAATCTTGGATCCGCCCTGTCTGCAACGTGCACACAATTTGCCACTTTAGATTGAACGAATCTAATCATATGATGTTCCACTTAAAATGTGCCTAAAATCAGGTTACTACAGTTGTATTCACATTATGGGGGAATAAATTAGCTGTAATATTTTCCAGGATTCAGCAAATGAATTCAAGTACAATTTGAAAATGACCTCAAACTAAATAAACAACACATAAACCTTTATTCATTTATTTATTTATGTTCTTTACAAATATTTTTATGTACTATAGTTTTTAAGTTTGTAAAATTTAATTAAAAAAATTTAGAAACTATGTTTAATGTTTTTTGAAAATTAGATAGGTTAACTCTCATTTTGAGACCTCCCATAATTTTTTAGGAGAGGAGGAACAAAGGAAGAATGAGTACAGTCAAACCTCTATAACAACATACCTATATAACAACACTTCATTATAAAAATCAAGCTTTTTCGGAACCAATTTTTATGTTATGTTATGATATATGTTCTCTATAACAACACTTCGGTATAACATTCAAAAATATTTGAAACAAACGAGGCTATTATAGAGAAATTTGACTGTATGTCTTGTATGAATGAAGATATTTTTTTCATTAATAAGTCATCCTTTACATTTGGTTAACAGAAAGTTTTCTTCATAAAGGAAGAAAATGACTTCTATAACTAATTGACGAAGTCATTTCCTTTGCAATTTTTTTAACGTTTAACGTTATATTGTTTGTTCCAGCTACACTTACAATATTTATTAATTTTTAGTATGCAAAAATTCAATCAAAACACATTTTCTAGTTGCTAATATTATCACAGTTTTTAGGATATAATTTTTTCTTTGCAAAATCGTATCCTGGCCACTTAAACTTGCACCCAATTGCCAACCCGATAAATAAACTTACAATTTTTCCATTTGAACACCCCAACTCGTACATATGTGAACTAGTAAACACCTTTGACCATTAACTATGCTTATGTAGCAAGAACACAGGTGACATGGACAACGTGCGTGAAGCACACATAATTAGCGCGGGTGAGTACAATAATTTTGGATTAAATTTTTTTTTACAATTAGGAAAACAATAATAAATTAAAAAGAAAAAAAAGGCCCCCATCCCATCCCTTTCTTTACCAGTACACCCTTTCCCCCTTCTTCCTCGATCTATATGATAAGGGCAAAAGAGGCGGAGCAACCGCCATGGCTGCAAAACTCAGTTGCACCATCAAAATAGTGCCTTCCGGGTCGCCCCGCCAAGATACGGGCCGCTCTATGTGCCCCGACGAACTCTAGACAATCTTAATCATCACAGCCTCTAATAATAATAATAATAATAATAATAATAATAATAATAATAATAATATTAATAATAATAATAATAATAATAGCGACCATTGTGAAACCCTTTTTAGGATTCAACGCCGGCTGATAAAGAAGAAGAAGAAGAAGAAGAAGAAGAAGAAGAAGAAGAAGAAGAAGAAGAAGAAGAAGCAGAAAGGGCAGCTCAGTGTATGCAAGCATTAGTATCTGATTTCACAAATAACACTAAAGTAGCTCAGTTTTTCTAATTGAATTTAACAGAAATAAGAAGAGAAGTAGAAAAGGGATGAAGGAAACTGACTAATTTTTGGATTTGGGGTTTGGTCGAAAGCTTTTCCGGCAGTGTCTTCTTTTACTGGTTTGGGGGGAGGGGGGAAGTGTTTGAGTAGAGAAGAAAGTAAAAATAAAATAAAATTTTGATAAATTAATTTTAAAAGTGGGGTCCACAAATAACACGTGTCAAGCAATAAATGGTCTAGCATATGACGTGTTTAACATGTAAGCGCAATTGATAGACACGCTCAATTGAATGTGTTTATTAGTATTCATTCCGTCAAGTTAAAATATTCAATTGGGAAAATTGTATGTTTATTTACCGAGTTGACAATTGGGTGCGCAAGTTTAAGTGGCCAGAGACCATTTTGCCTTTTATCTTCTAAACATACTTTTCACTCATCAATCAAACACCGAATTATTTTGCAAACAATGTAATGAGTTTCGTCATATCAAATACATTAAACATTGTTCAATTAAAAAATAAAAAACCCGGAGACAGACCACAATTTTTAATTAGGGACAAGTTATTTAAGAATTAATTAAGACAACTAATTTAACGAACTTTGCCTCTTCAACCCTCTTGTGCCACCTGTATAAATTCATGTCATCTTCTTCCAAACCTCTCATTCAATTATTATAAAACTCTGCAACAAAATATTTGCAGATCTTCCTTAATAAGATCATAAATATTACCTAGATAGGATAAAAGTGTAACACATTCTTGAAAAAAATATTGATCTCTATATTGTATAATGGCTGAAGACCCTTTAGAAAATGCAGCATTTGGAAGGAAAAAAATGGTGAGAATAGAATCAGGGGCAGTAAGAGGGTTCAAGAGCCTGCATTTTCTTGATACTAAAACAGGGAAAGAAGCAGATGCTTGGAAAAGTGTAGAGAAAAGATTTCCTGAAAATGCAGTTAATGATATTCTTTTTAGAGACAAATTTGGAGCATGTATAGGTATTTTTTTGACCAATTGATATTAATGTTGGTAAATATTTTGGTAAATGTGACATTTTATTTTATGTTGATTTTTGCATGAAAGGAATGGGAGAAAGCAAGGAATTTGCTGAGGAGTTGTTTGATACATTGGCAAGGAGAAAGAAGATCAATGCAGAAAATGGGATAACCATTGAAGAACTTAGAGAATTTTGGGAAGATATTTCAACTAAATGCCCTGATACAAGGCTTCATATTTTCTTTGACATGTAAGAATTTGTGCTTTCCTTTATTTTTCTTGTGTGGAGAGACTAAACATGACCATTTTGAAGCACAGGCGTATTCAAGATTTAAATTTGATGGGTTCAGCCTTTAATATTTTAGGACTGAACTCGCCGTACTTTTCAAATTATGAGTTCTGAATTTAACATTCATGGGTTCGAGCCGTGGAAACAGCCTCTTGCAGAAATGCAGGATAAGGTTGCGTACAATAGACCCTATGGTCCGGCCCTTCCCCGGACCCCGCGCATAGCGGGAGCTTAGTGAACTGGGCTTTAATATTAGTGATTTTTTCACGTATAACTTATGTTCCGTGTTGAAAATACTGGTTCAGTTGAACTCATTGTTCGAAAGCTCCATTTGTCTTGTAGGTGTGACAAGAATGGTGATGGGAAACTATCAGAAGAAGAGGTCAAAGAGGTGAGGAAAAACATACCTTGTGAATTGTTGTTTCTTTTTTTGTGAGGCAATATAGTTGATATTTTTGTTTGAAAGGTTCTAGTGATGAGTGCTGCAGCCAACAAATTGACAAACTTCAAGCAAAATGCAGCAACATATGCAGCTTTAATTATGGAAGAATTTGATCCTGACCATTTAGGATATATTGAGGTAAAATTCCACTCAAAGATGGCCATCTTTTAATACAAGTCTTCTTTATCTTTTAAAATCTTCAACTTTGTAAACAGATATGGCAACTTGAATCTTTACTAAGAGGAATGGTAGGATCAGAAGATGGGAAAAAGAACTTGAGGAGATCGCAAACACTAGCGAAAACCATGATCCCTAGACAATATAGAACTCCAGTGAGCAAATTCTTGACGAAAAACTTAGAGAAGATACACGATAACTGGAAAAGAATTTGGGTCGTAACGTTGTGGTTGTCTATTAACTTGATATTATTCATATGGAAAGTTCAACAATTTAAGGGGAGAGCAGCTTTCAAGATTATGGGTTATTGTGTTTGTATAGCTAAAGCTGCAGGTGAAACTCTCAAGTTTAATATGGCTCTCATTCTCTTACCAGTATGCAGAAGAACTCTAACTCAACTTAGAGAAACTTTCCTTGGTTCTATTATACCTTTTGATGATAACATCAATTTCCATAAAATGATTTCCTTGGGAATTACTCTAGGGACTTTTATTCATGTCTTGTTTCACACGAGTTGCAACTTTGTGAAATTAGTATCCTGCCCGAAAAGCAAATTTATGACGGTTCTTGGAAGCAATTTTGACTACCACCAACCGACTTACATGGATTTGGTAGCATCTATTCCAGGCGTAACGGGGATACTGATGACCCTTCTCATGCTTTTCTCCTTCACATTGGCAACACATTCCTTCCGAAGGAATGTGATCAAACTGCCAGGGTCATTTCGTCATTTAGCAGGATTTAACGCGTTCTGGTATGCACATCATCTGTTGGTACTCGTTTACGTGCTCTTGATCCTACATGGCTACTTCATATTCCTCACCAAAGAATGGTACAAAAAGACGGTATGTCCACTTGCATTTTCATAACCTCATCACACTTGTTAACTTGGTATTGAAAGAAGAACTTGTAGTAGTGTTATTTGATAACCATGAAACATGCACATGTATCATATTGTGTCCAAATAATATAACATGAATATAACCTCTTTACTCTTGACAGCTAGAAACACTGTTTTTTCAAGTTAGTTAAAGAAATTTCTATTGAGATACTTGTGATTGAACATTCAAGATTACCTCTGATATGCAGACATGGATGTATCTTGCAGTCCCAGTACTTCTATATGCTACAGAAAGAGTTCTCACTGTCAAAGAGAACCGCTACGAAGTGAAAATCGAAAAGGTTTTAGTTTCAAGAAATTTACATCAATTTTTGAACTCTTGGTAATTGCAGAAATGCTAAATTCAGCATTCATTTCTATGCCCGAAAAAAAAATACAGGCTGTTACGTATACAGGGGATGTACTAGCACTGTATATGAGTAAACCTCAAGGATTCAGGTACAAGAGCGGGATGTACCTGTTTGTTAAATGTCCAGATATATCAAAGTTCGAATGGTAATTGAAGAACAAATTATCATCAAACAGATTCAATATTGTCAATATCCTTGTGCTAAGAAATATTTATTTAACTCTTACAGGCATCCATTCTCAATCACTTCTGCACCAGACGACAAATATTTAAGTGTCCATATACGTACATTAGGAGACTGGACTACAGAGCTTAGAACCAGATTTCAAAAGGTATTGTACTATGTTACTACGTCGCATTTCCTAAAATAGCTTTTATGCTTCATTTTCTGAGGCGTACAAGACTTGACTGAATAAAGAAAGATATGAACAAATGCCATATCAAATTTGGAAAACATAGATTTAGCCATATGATTGATGGTTTGACCCTCAATTGTAAAATAAGGAACTTAGACTTTTTATTCTTCTTGTCCTTTGCTTTTGGGATTATAAACCTCGTATTTGCAGGCTTGTCAACCGACACAATCAAGGACGAAAAATCTTATTAGAATGGAAACTAAAGCATATAATCCACATGACACTGAACAATCTCAACCCGAGTATGCTAAAATGTTCTATTGCCAACACTTTTCCTTCTTCATATATTAGCATTAGAACTTATATCTTATCTTTTGCGGCATATTTCCAAGGATCATTATCAAAGGGCCTTACGGTGCACCAGCTCAGAACTACAAGAAATATGATATCCTTCTGCTAGTTGGCTTAGGAATTGGAGCAACGCCATTTATCAGCATTATAAAGGACATACTAAACCAAGAATCTGGACATGTACGAGTTCGTGCATATAGCAGTATTTTATTAAAATAACCAGAGACACAAAAGCTATTATAACTTAATCTACTAACTGCAGAGTCAGCAGGAAGATGAATTATCTAGCAAGAAAGGTCCTCAAAGAGCATATTTCTACTGGGTGACACGAGAACAAGGATCATTCGACTGGTTTAAGGGTGTAATGGATGACATCGCTGAACATGACGAAAATGTTGGTTTTTTAAATCCTGAGTTCTCAATAAGTTTCCTCAACTAGTACAAAGTTGGCCTGATACATTTTTCATGTTCATGGTATTTTGGTATTCTCCAGGAAGTGATAGAAATGCACAACTACTTGACTAGTGTTTATGAAGAAGGAGACGCTAGATCAGCACTAATCACTATGGTGCAGTCACTACAACATGCTAAAAATGGAGTTGATGTTGTCTCAGAAAGCCGGGTATTCTCTTTAGATCCAACGTCCAGTACTCAAAAATAATAGTTTCAACTTTTTACTAAAATTGTTTCAACACTTGATCTTCGACAGATAAGAACACATTTCGCTAGGCCAAATTGGAAAAAGGTGTTCTCTCAATTGGCAGCAGCGCATCCATCATCTCGCATTGGTGCGTTTAAAGACATCTATGAATCTGCTTTGTTTATAACATTCTTAGTAGCTATGTCTACTGCTGTTTGAACATTATGGTAACGTTGCAGGTGTGTTCTACTGTGGAAGTCCAACACTTACCAAACCACTCAGAAAGCTGTGTCAAGAATTTAGCTTAACTTCATCCACTCGCTTCAACTTTCATAAAGAGAACTTCTAGAGTATAGTGGTTTCGCATCTTGAGATTTCAGTACAATATCAATGTATTTTCAGTTAAATTTGTAATATATTGTTCGCTGTAAAAGTTTAGGGACATTTAGAAGTGGACTTTGATTAGCTGCAAATATCAGCATTCACTCTCAAGTCTTCTGGATAGACCTATCTCATTCTGCTATTTGGTTGATTTTTTCCTGTTTCAGACCTAATATAACATTTTGTTGATCTGAGCGGTTTTGGTTTTGATGATTGACAAAGGAACACATGCATGAACCAGGTCCATGGACAGTGTACACAAGTGACGCCCAGAATCAAGCAAAAGGCATGCACATGAAAGGGATAAGTATAAGTGGTTATTTCTGATAATCTCTGAACGAAAATATTGCATATTTGATAAGGAGCAGGACTCTTTACTTGAAGAGAACTCTATCCAAGATAAGGAAATAGTTAGAAGTTGAAGATAACTAAAACTCTTCCACCAAGGAAGAGTAAAGCATCAAACTTCTAGTTAATCCTTATTCTACTAACTCTATAAATATCAGTTTTGTTTTCTTTTACAAGTGATACACACATACTGAAGTTACGCACAAATTGAGAGCAAAATAGCAATGCATTTTGTGAGCAATTCCTGTGAGATTTAAGTGTGCGATCCTGAAGCTACACGAACCAGATTGATGAACCAGCTTCATAAATAGTTTTATGTGTCTTTCTTTATTTCTAGTTCAAAGTGTAGTAGGCATTTTGAGTTGTACCTTTTAGCTTTCTAAGAAGCAAATTATACTAGGTACCTCAGTTGTATCTTTCAAGTTAGAGTTAACTTGAAGTAGTCGCAACAGCCTGTGGCGTGTTGCTATAAGGGTTAGAGTTAATCCTTAGGTTTGCAAGAGGTTGTAAACTTTAGTTGTATTGTTCAAGTTAGAGTTAACTTGAAGTAGTCGCAACAACTTGTGGCTGGTTGCTACAAGGTTTAGAGGTAATCCTTAGGTTTGCAAGAGTTTGTAAACTTTGTTGTTAGCTTGTAGTGAAGTGTTTGGGGAAAATCCTACTGGGTAGTAGGTCGTGGTTTTTTCACCTTTTTAGCCAGGTGTTTTCCACGTAAAAATCCTGTGTTCTTTACTTTCTACATTATTTATTCCGCACATGTAGTGTAAGGAACGCATAGAAGAACCAGGTCCTTCGATAATCCAGTGCACGGAAAAATTAGGCACCACACAAGTCACCTCCCCTTGTGTGGTATTGAAGTATAAAATATCAATTGATATCAGAGCAGGTTATCTTTGAAGAGGATAACACCTTAGGAATAGATCAAGATGAGTGCACTGCTTGGAAATTGTAAAGAGCAATCCACCACTAGGCCACCACTATCCAATGATCACTACTATTGCTTATGGAAGGAGAGGAGAAGAGATCACTTGCAAATGACTAATGGATGCTTCAAATGTGGTAAAAAGAACCACATGATCAAGAACTGTCCTATGTGGGAAGTCGAGTGGATTAAGGAGAGATCTAAAAGAAAAAACAGAAAGAAGGAACATGTTCATGATAAGAAGAAATACGACAAAGGGCTATCCAAAGCAATGGTTGCTGCCTGGGAAGAATGTTCGGATGAGGACACTGGTGATGATGTTGATAATACTGAACGAGCTCTTATAGCAATTCAAGAATCTGAAGATGAACCTGATGAAAAATCTGAGATAAGTCTTCTGGACCTAAAGGATAAAATTAAATTCCTTTCTAATGATAGACTATCAGAACTATAGCTAACTTTAATTGATGAATCTAAGAATATAAGTTCTGAAAAAGAACAGTTGTCAAAAGAGTGTAACCTTTTAAAAGCAAAGTGCAAAAACCTGGAAATTAGGGCTTGTGAAACTCAAAAAGAAAATACTATTTTGAAGAACCAGGTTCATGCACTTGACACAGTTGTCTTAGAACATAGATCTGATAATCTGAAATTGAAGTTAGGAACAGGTAAACAAATAGCTAGTGTCACACAACTCACACTAGAAAAGGATTTAAGAAAGGTAAAAGATGATCTATATAAGAGGGATGAATAGGTAAGATTCCTAACGGAGGATCTGAACAAGGTCAAGCATGAGCTAGACAGAACTTGTAAATGGAACAGGTCCTCTGATGCACTTTCATGGTTACAAGAACATCATAGTAGCAACAAAAGAGGACTTGTCTTTGGGAACTCTACATCTAAGTGGGATCCCAAAAGCAAGTACCTCACACTCCTTGAGAACAAGATAGCACACACTGGTCACTATAAAAGTGAATGCACAACAAAAGAGAAGGCAAGTCAAAAGAACAAAAATTTTGTTCTAGGAAAAAATAGGCTGTCAAGTTGGGCTAAAAAGAATGTGATTTATCCTTTTGCATATAGAAAGGGACCCAAACTAGTTTGGGTTCCTAAGACTAATCCTGATTTCTTTTTGCAGGTCCAAGTGACGGGGAGTAGCCAAATATGGTACATAGATAGTGGCTACTCAAAGCACATGACATGAAGCAAGAACCAATTCCTTTCACTTGAGGATCTTAAATGAGGTAATGTCTCCTTTGAAAATGGAAAGAAATGTGAGATCATTGGGGTTGGAAAGGTAGGTAAGACTGATTCTCACTCTATTGAGAATGTCTACTTGATAGATGGACTGAAGTATAGTCTAATAAGTGTATCACAATTGTGTGATAGAGGTAACATGGTAGCATTCACCTCTACAAAATGCTTTGTGATTAATCTTACCACTGACAAGATAGTTTTGTAGGGAAAAAGAGTGAACAACATATATATTGTGGATCTGTCCACACTTTCAGATAATGAACTCACTTGCTTAAGTGTGTTGGATAATGATCCCCCTCCTTTGGCACAAGAGACTTGGACATGCCAGTCTAAGCCAACTCAACAAACTAGTCTCCAATGACTTGGTGATAGGGCTGCCTAACATTAAATTCAAGGAAGATAAAGTTTGTGAGGCTTGTGCAAGGGGGAAGCATGTAAGATCCTCTTTTAAAAGCAAGAAAATGATAAGTACTACCAGGACGATAGAACTGGTCCATATGGATCTTTGCGTACCAATGAAAACATTGTGCAGAAGTGGTAAGTGATATGTGATGGTGCTTGTTGATGATTACTCTAGGTTTACTTGGAAACTGTTTTTAACATCTAAAGATGAAACATTTGACATGTTCACTTCGTTTGTTGGAAAAACTCAGAAACAACTAGGTAATTAACTTGCATCAATTAGGTTTGATCATGGTACTGAGTTTGAAAATGCTAGATTTGCTGAATTTTATGATGAGCATGGCATAGATTATAATTTTGCTGCTCCTAGGACTCCACAACAAAATGGAGTAGTTGAAAGAAAGAATAGGACATAGGAGGAAATGGCTAGGACTATGCTACTTGCAAGTAAATTGCCTCATAGCTTCTGGGCAGAAGCTGTGAACACTGCATGCTACTTCATAAATAGGTGCATGACTAGACCTCTTATTGAGAAGACTCCCTATGAGTTACTTAAAGGGAGAAAACAAAATATATCCCATCTTAGGGCATTTGAATGCAAGTTCTTTGTGCACAATAATGGAAAAGACTCCCTAGGTAAGTTTGATCCCATAAGTGATGAGGGAGTATTCTTGGTATTTTTCACATAGTAAAGCTTATAAGATATATAACAAAAGAACTATGTGTGTAAATGAAGTATGCATGTTGTTTTGAAACTAACATTCCTTTTAAGAGGCAGGAACAAGATGATGAAGATAATGGACTGACAAGAAACTCAAATAATGAAGCCACAGTCCAGCCTGAAGCTCCATCACAGGAAGGAACATGTGATGGAACAGGTCCTTCCACCTAGGGAAACCTCACATGAGGAACTGACTAGAAAGGAACTGATCCTCAAACCTCGAGGGAACATGTCCATGAACCTATTCCTCAGTAACAAAACCAGGAAGGAACATCTAAAGAAATTGACACTCCTATAGCAACATCCACGAAATTGGATTTGGATGAACCTAGTTCATCTGTTGATCAGAAGATATATAGGGGAATGATTGACTATTTGTTACTCCCTCCGTTTCAATTTAGATGAGGTAGTTTGACTAGGCACGAAGTTTAAGAAAAAAGAAGAAGACTTTTAAAACTTGTGGTCTTAAAAGCTTAAGGGGTAAAAACTTTATGGGGCCATGACATTTGTGTGGTTATAAATGATTCTCATTAAGGGTAAAATGAGTAAAATGAAGAGTTTAAAGTTGAATTATTTCCAAATTTAGAAATATGTCATATATTTTGAAACAGACAAGAAAGGAAAGTACCTCATCTAATTTGAAATGGAGGGAGTATATCTCACTGCTAATAGACTTGACATTATTTTCAGTGTAGGCCTTTGTGCTAGATTTCAGGCAAATCTAAAGGAGTCTCACTTGAAGGATGTCAAGAGGATCTTGAGATACCTAAAAGGCACCAGTGATTAGTTACACACGAACCAATTTCATCAAGAGTCCCACGCGCCATAATTGCCGAAATATTTGGGGAAGAGTGAACGTCTTTTCAAACTGAAACTTCCAATGTGATTAGACTTCTAGACTTCAAAAAGGTGTCGTTATACATTCAACCTTTCCCTTTTTAAATTGATATGACCTTACCCTCTTATCTCAATTTTTTTTCGAAAGATCAAAATCTCCAAAACCTTAAAACTCTCTTTATTTCTCTCAAGTTTCTGAACTGATTAAATGGAAAACACCCATGAGAATCCCAAGAACTCTGAAAACCCTTCCTCACCACCCAAAGAACCTTCACCCAAACTTTCAACCAACCAAACCCCCAAGAAAAAACATATCAAAATGATTGCATGCAACACATTGGCTAGTAGAGAATAAGTTAAGAACTTGAGTGAGATGCTACAAGCCAGTCAAGCAGAAGAACCCTAAAAATCTGACAAGTCCTTCAAGTCTGCGACTGAGGGGGAAGAACCAGTTTCATCTGAAATTGAGCAGGTTATAACTTCTGGGTTAAAAATTTCTGATGTTGCTTCTAGAATTGCTGAGAATCTTGAAAATAGGTTTGTGTTAGTTGGTACGATTGCTGGTGTAGAAACTGGTGGGTCTGGAAAATTGGTGGTAAATATGAAAAAAATAAAAAATAGTGAGGTTGTTAAAGTAGATGTGAGGTCAAAGGGAGAAGAAAGAGTGGTTGGATCTCCTTCACCCGCTCTTATTGGTTTGACTGAAGAAGCTGGAGCAATGATTGTATTAAGTGAAGAGATTAGTGATAATGAGGAGACTGTGAATGAAAATATGGGGATAGAATCACAGGAGATAGGTGATGGTTCTGGTGATAGAAGTGCGGTAGATGGATTGGTTAGGTTAAGGAAACGGTTTCATGAACCAGTTCGTTCTCTTTCTAAAATAGACAAGAGTTCCGATCTGCTGCAAAATATTCAGATAGTTATAATCCAAAGAAGAAGAAAAAAGTTGGAAAGACTGCAGGAAAGGGCATGGGTGGCACTAAGAGAAAGAGTGCTCCTTCTATCCCTGTAGCAACTTCTCCCACAAGAGGAAGAACTACAAGGAGTCAAAAGAAGCAGAGTGAGGCCAATGTAAAAAGGGCCTTAACTGAGAATGCCAAGAAAGTCGCTTGAAAAAAAAGAAGGCTGGTAAGAAGTGGAGTAGTCCAGATTGAGGAGATGAACCTGGTTCTTGAAGATGAATATGAGGATGTGGAAGTACCCACACCTAGTGACAAAAAGAGAAAGACTTCTCAAAATAATTCTCGAGAAACATAGGCTGAGGGCTCAATTGTGTCTAAAAGAACTAGGTATGCCAAAAGGAGCACGAAGGCTCAAATAAAGGAAGAAAATGACTAAGGATGCTGAGATTGAAAGGATGAAGAAACGATTGGCTGAAGTAAAGGCTGAGAGAGACTCTCTCAAGTGTGAGCTTGCAAAGTAAAAAGACAATAATGATAGTATTCTTCAAGATATGTTGAAACTGCTTCAAGCCAAGAACCAATAACCAGGTCTTTCCCAGTTTTAAACCCTTCCTAAGCCTAGTTTGTAACCAGTAACCCAAGTGGGATATTTTTTGCTCATGGTTCTATGTTTTTATTTCTTCTTATGTATTGTGGTAGGATCTTATCAATCAATGAAATTCATTATTTTTGCTGTAATTGTTCGTTGATATTTCTTAGATGGCTAATATCCTTAGATCGAGAAAGAGAAAATTGAATGCATGATTGCATTTGAAGTAGCCCAGTGGCCATGAGTGATATCTGTGAAAATCTGGTTACTTACATTAATTGTGTAACTTTTTGATGATGCCAAAAGGGGGAAGATAAGGTGTGCTTTTGCTTTGGACTGTGATGTTTATAACCTAATGAACCTGGTCCTTAATGATTTGTGACTTTAAATGAAAAGTGTTCTAATATTTTATTGATGTTGAGCTGAGTTGAAACAAGTTCCATGCTTATGAAAAGCACGGAGTTTTCATCATCAAAAAGGGGAAATTTATTGACCTGAGCGGTTTTGGTTTTGATGATTGAGAAAGGAACACATGTATGAACCAGGTCCATGGACAGTGTACAGGGGTGATGGGCATAACCAAGCAAAAGGCATGCACTGAAATGGATAAGTACAGGTGGTTATTTATGATAATCCCTGAACGAAAATGTTGCATATTTGATAAGGAGCAGAACTCCTTACTTGAAGAGACCTCTATCCAAGATAAGGAAAGAGTTACAAGTTGAAGATAACTAGAACTCTTCCACCAGGAAGAGTAAAGCATTAGACTTCTAGTTAATCTTTATTCTACTAACTCTATGAATATCAATTTTGTTCTCTTTTTTACAGGTGATGCACACATACTGAAATTAAGTACAAATTGAGAGCAAAATAACAAGGCATTTTGTGAGCAATTCCTGTGAGATTTAAGAGTGCGATCCTCAAGTTACACGAACCAGCTTGAAGAACCAGCTCCATAAAGAGTTCTATGTGTCTTTCTTTATTTCTTCAAAGTGTAGTGGGCGTTTTGAGTTGTACCTTTCAGCTTTCTAAGAAGCAAATTATACTAGGTACCTGAGTTGTATCTTTCAAGTTAGAGTTAACTTGAAGTAGTCGCAACAGCTTGTGGCGTGTTGCTATAAGGGTTAGAGTTAATCCTTAGGTTTGCAAGAGGTTGTAAACTCTAGTTGTATTGTGCAAGTTAGAGTTAACTTGAAGCAGTCGCAACAGTTTGTGGGCTGCTACAAGGGTTAGAGGTAATCCTTAGGTTTGCAAGAGTTTGTAAACTTTGTTGTTGGGTCGGAGTTGCAGTGAAGTGTTTGGGAAAAATCCTAATGGGTAGTAGATCGTGAGTTTTTCACCTTTTGAGCCGGGTGTTTTCGACGTAAAAATTCTTGTGTTCTTTACTTTCTGCATTATTTATTTCGCATATGTACTGTAAGGAACGCACAGAAGAACCAGGTCCTTCAATAATTCAGTGCACGCAAAAATCAGGCACCACACAAATCACCCCCCTCTTGTGTGGTATTAAAGTATAAAACATCACATTTCAGTTATATTAGAAACCTACTTTTTTTGATTTGTTTTTTGTTACATAGGGGGTACGGGGAAATGGGGGAGAGGATTATAAGGTGGGGAATCGAACTCTCACCAACAAGATGAAAGTTCAGGTAACCAACCAACTCAGCTACTAAGATTCGCCACCAACTTCTCCTCTTTAAATAAGACTCTTTGTGTCATAGCTACAACAATTATTAGACATTGTTGTCTATCCGACACTTTCTCTGATCAGGTGTGTCGAGTTGTAAGCTTACGTAAGTAAGATGACTAAACATATTATAAAGTAATATTCCTATAGTGAGAGTCATTGTAGGTACTATTGAAAAGTTTACTCATGTATGTGGATCTTGCCCTACTCTTTCTTTACTGGGTTGTAATTTTGTGATAACTTCTATTTTTCGCCTAAAAATTGTAGGTGTTTGTCCTTATTTTCTTACTATATTTGGTTTTCCTATCTCTTGAAAGAAAGGGCAACACGTTTACCATAATTGAGTTTTTCTTCTTGTAGAAGGATATTATAAATCTCCCATATTTGGCTAGTCCTTTTTCTTGTAGGAAAATGTTTTGTACTTTTATAAATTGAGGATCATTCCTTCTCATCCAATAGCATCCACAATGTAGCCATATGGGGTTTGAGAGTGTTGTTTAGGGGGGGATATTTCGGGACAAATGTTAGTGTGCCACTTGTGTTTGCTTCTTCGTGAGGTTGTTTTCTCGATATTTTGTATTCTCTTTTATATAGTAGATTGCTCATCTCCCCTGTGGATGTAGGTCAATTGACCAAACCACGTTATATGTATATGTCTCTTTTGGTATATTTCTCTTTTTTTGTTTGGTTTATAATAGTTCATGATTTGCTTACTAGCTTCCGCATAATGCCTAATTAATTCGGTTCTAACAAAAATAACTTGTCCTTTGTCGGTCACCTTGCAGCTAACTATCTTCCTATTATCTTTTTCCTTCTTAGTGTCTTATCCACAATCAATGACACTTTTCCAGCTAACTATCTTCCTATTCATACAGTTAGATCAACTAATTTGAAATTGAGTGAATTGATGGAGATTTAATTTTAGCTATATAATTTATTTTATACAGGAGATCGGATAAGTAGAGGATAGTTTAGTAAAAATAATACATGTTTTTTCTATTCGAATCTTAAGTGGGAATGAAAATAATTTCCTCTTAATAGATTGTGAATTCTTTATATGAGTAATTATGTTTAAAGTATATTAAAGTACATATATAATTTAAACAAAATTATAAAAATACAAACAGGAATAGGTTCGGCGGTCGGTCCAACTTTGGACCGGAAAATATATCGGTTCACTACCTGCTGCTCTTTCCCTTTGGAATAGGATCTGATTTCCTGCAACATCTCCTCCTACACCTTGCTCTCTCCTCTTGAAACAACACAGATAATTGGATTTTAGCAAGTAAGAAGCTATTTCTGCTAAATTTTCTTCATTTTGAGCTTTCAAATTTGTTGGGTTTTAATAAAAAAAAAAATCATGACCTCTTTTTTAGTCTCATTTATTTCTAGTATTGCCTCATTTCAACTTGATCGATTAAGCTTTTGTTAACATTGGGTGTTGAAGTCTTATGATGGGTCTAAGGCACTGTATCCACTAAAAAAGTTGAATCTTTTCTTATTGCAATGCTATGCTACTTCTGGTTTTTTTTTTTCGAAGAAGAAGAAATAAATTTTCATGCAGAGCATGATGATGTTGCCTTTATTTCTTTATCCATTAAATTTATCAGGTGGTATATTATTGATGTTCGCTTGAATTTTGGAATTTTCACTTGAAATCATGGCAAAACTTTTCTAGTAATGGAGCCTAGATTGAACCAAGAGTTGGGTCGTTTCATATCAAGATAGGGCTTGAATTCAACTCCTAGGAAAATATAATAGATTCTAGCTGATTCGATCTTGTTATGAACCCAAAATGGAGGAGAAATGTATTTTGCTGCTATTCTAATTGAATAAAATGTAAGGCATTCTCAAGAAGTAATTATAAATACAGACATTCAGAGTAGGAATATAATGAAGGAGAAGAGAAGAAGAAAGAGGGAAGGGGAGAGAGAAAAAGAGGAAGAAGAACGAAGAAGAAGAGAATGTAGATAAGAAGTTCCTCAGATTTCCATCGCCGCCTTCCTCCACTGCTTCTTTATTTATTTGCTGATTATGTGCACCCACATCTTCAGTAAATTCACTAATCATCTTGATTATGTAACTAAGTTGAATTATCTAACTAATCTCCACTCACAGCATGAAAGATCTGCTTAGCATACTTTCAACAATACTACAATGGATATATGTCTTTATCCTGCTACAATGGATTTTTTGAGTTGCATCTCATAAGCCTCAATCTACATATGTCATGTGAAGGAGGTCATCTGACTTTCTGATTAGTTATGCAAGAATGTCGGATGTTCTTCTTTCAATAGTAAATCCACTAATGTGGTAATAATATCTATTGAGTTGTGCTAGAAACTATAGGATTCTTTTTTTTTTTTTTTTAAAATCAGGATAGTAATTTGGTTTAACATTCCACCACCTATGTATGTTTGTCAGAAGTGTAAATGCATTACACATATTATGTGTCTACGCGTCTAATGAGTCAATGCCTAATTGCCATTCAAGCTGTTCAGGTCTATGATGGAACTTCACGATCTTCTGGCACGATGTTTGGTGATGATCGTTGCAGTGATACAAATTTCTACAATCAGCTCATGTCTCGGTACTGCAGTATCAAATGAAGTAAGTGACCTAGCTGCTGAACAAACTGAAGATGTGCAGTTATTTCTCAATGCATGTGATTCGAGTGATAGTAATATACTATTTACATAGAACTCTAAATGGTGTTGCCAACAAAACTTTTAGACTCAATTGAATCTTGCAACCATTAATTTGTTTCCATAGTTCTTAGTAACTTGTTCTTTGTAACTTTTCCCCAATCTTCTTCAGGTCCCTGCACCTTATCTTGATAAATATGTTGCGAAATCATACTTTAGCAAACATGACAATTTGATAGACTCAAAGTTTGAAGATTTCGTTGCGCATGACATTCTGTCCGGCGCCTGTGTATCGCTGCAAGACAATGTCGAATTTGAACCAAAGCTGTCTGCTTTACATCGAAAGCTGATTGGTGAAGGCTCCCACCGGCGTCTATCATCATCTTTCAGACTGAAGATGTCATTGGAGTCTGTTTCCAGGCCTCCAAAATCTTGTGAGGTGATAATTGTTGAAAGACTGCCTTCTGGAGTCTTTGCAGATCCTTTTGAGCTACAACACCTTGTGCAGCGTGGTGGTAAATTACTATTAGATTATATGGGTTTCTAACACTGCAACTCTTGATTTTTAAGGCATGTTCGTGTCCACATTTTGTTGCAGTTCTTAGGGAAGCTGCTGTATTTGGAGATACAAATTTAGAGTTACCCTCATTTCGGTCAAACCGGTCACTTGTTGAGGTTCATCTGGAAACAGGTTCCAATTTAATATCAGAACAGAAGGATGAACAGGAAATACACACAGAACTTCCTCTACATGCACGTTATCAGGTACATCACATAAAAGATTCTCAAAATTATGTAGGAATCTCTGAAGTACGTCTCAGGCTCAAAGGTAGTCATTTTATTCCCCTGAAGTTATTTGATATTTTTACAAGAAAAGATGTAAGTTACCATAATTTTGGCCACTTTTGGTTTGGGGAGGTACATGTACATTTATTTAGAACCTTCTCAACTATTGACTGTAACATATCCGCTTTTTCTTGGCAGCCACTAGGACACGGATTCTCAAGAGTCGAATTTGCTTCACCTGACTTGTTTCTGCGCTGCAACACTAAAGGAAATCAACATGCCACGAGCTGTTTGTTTTCACTAGACAAACAGAGTGCTGAATCAAATGATAGTCATCCTGTGTGGGAAGTACCATGTGGAAGTAGAGAACACATGGAAGTTGTATCTGCTTTTACTTTCATCTCAGCTGTTGTGTCAGCTCTTCTCATCATTGTTGCCTCAATTAGGTACTCTCATGACAAAGCGTGTAATGCCTTGAAACAGCCGTGAATAATTAATGACTTTAGCAAGCTATTCTTTCCGCTTTCTGGACTAACAATTGGCAAGAGAAACTCACTTGATGTTAGGTAAACTGATAACCTCCATCAGTTATAGCTGCTGCTTATCTATGTTTTAAACTTCTGTCATTACTAATTTCTTAGATCAACTACTTTTATGTTAACTGTTATAGTTACAAGTTACAACACAGAACATTGGCAGACGGAGGAGAAGTGCAGGGCTTTGGATGTTGCTCCACTAACACTTATGTGGGTTGCATAGCGAGAAAGAAATAGGAGAGCTTTACAAGGGCTAGAGCTAATTTCATACAGTTGAAGAGTAACCTCTTATCCCTTATTTTCTTTTGGTGCACCCATGAGATCCCTGTAACATATATAGGTATAGAAGATTGGGTGCTGTTTGTCGAAACCATATCTTTGTGTAGATTTTCTACTTTTTAGTATACTTTTGTATACACACGATTATTTTTTCCCAAACATTAATAAAATCGTATTACTTTATCAGAAACAAGTTACAACACTGAAAGCGTATCAAATAATGCATGCTGATGGTATAAGCAAATTCAGTTTTTCTCTATTACAGTAACGAAGACTTCAGCTAGACAAGTGACTAGTTGAATCAACTTACATTAGACACTCGGTCTCTGTGTACCTTGTATATCATTCCTGGCCACCTCAAATACTTGTGTACGATGATTCATCGAATTTTCTCTACTCACCCTTAGCTCCACCTCAAATATTTCAGTTGTGCTTTTCATATGCATGGAATAAACCAACATTTCTGTGCTAGCAAAACTATATTCTCAGAATTCAGGAAGGAATATTAAGTGAAAAAATTAGAAGTTGTACTCTGAGGGGAAGAAAATGAACAGCGGCTGCAGCAACAGATGATGTCATTCCTGGCAAAAGCTGTTAACAGCCCTGGATTCTTGGCACAGTTTGTACAGCAGCAAAATGAAAGAAATAGGCATGCAATGGAAGGCAACAGAAACGCAGTATTCAACAAACTGTGGACAGATTCTTTCTGTTAGCCCTGCTGGTGGACAGATTGTGAAGTACCAACCTGTAATGAATGAGGGGGCAAGCATTAATGCTCAGGCAGATAATGAAACAAAATTCTTCCCTTAGGTCAGTGAACTTCAGCAACAGTCCGGAAAGTGTGCTTGTTTGTGATGGTTCACCCCAATCCAATGCATTAGACAGTGGAAGTTCCAAGGAGTCACTCTTCAGGAAGTTCCACCCACTTCTGCCCAGCCATTTGCAAGTGCAACTTCAGCTGTTGCTGGTCAAGTTCATCGGCTGCCATATCTGAGATCCAGTCATCTCCTCTAGGTAAATCTTCTGAAATTGCCCACATTCAATTTTCAGATATAAGTTCCCTCGTTGGAGCTCAAGACTTGCCTCCTGTTTCAGATATGACTATGCCTGAGGTCTCACAGTTGCAAGAAATTGTGCCTGTAAACAATATGGATTCTAATCGATCAGAGATGGAGAATGGTTCTTTCATGGATCCCACATTGGATGGAAATGGAATAGTGCCATTGAGAATTGATACTTTTTCTCCCGATCCTCAAAGCGAGTGGCAGAGTAACTTGATAGACAGAGTAACTTGATAGACGATCCTCAAAACAATATGGGTTCTAATCGATCAGAGGCGGAGCTAGCCCATCAGCTATGGGTTTGGCCGAACCAAGTAGCTTTGGTCCAATTTCTGTATTTGTCCTATGAAATTTATTGATAATAATTAGAACTCGGTAACTTAAAATGGTCATAACCCCGAACTTATAACCTTTAAATCCTAGCTCCGCCTCTGCGTATAAGTTATAAGTTATATATACTAGTCTGTTAGCAACATCCTTGCAAGGAGTCGACATGAAAGGATTTATCTTTATGTGAGTATGTTTCATTCATCTTTCTTTGCAAGATTGTTGGCTTTGAAAAAGATAATTTATTGGTTGTGACTTATTGAAATGAGGAGTTAATTGTATAGATGTACATATAATAGGGACCTAAGTGTATACATCTAGAAGTTAGGGGTGTTAGTATAATTATAGTTAGTTGATAACTAACTATTAGATAGAGTGTATATATCAGCACGTTTGTATCTCTTTCGGCTCAATTGAGCATTAATGAAAATAGTTTCTTCTTCTCCAAAGCTTCTTCTAACATAGTATCAGAGCTATGGAGCAGTAAGCAGCTAATATCTCGTAACTCTGTTCTCAGTTCATCAAAAGGTTAATCGAATTTTTAGTTTTTTTTCTTCTCTGAAATATTTGAGCTTGAAATTGTACGATAATGGCGGAAAAAACGAAAATAGATTACACTCATCCCTTGTTTCTACAACCATCTGATACTCCTGGATTGGTGTTGATTCCAATTCAACTCATAGGATCTGAAAACTATGGTTTATGGAGTAGATCTATGCGCCTTGCTTTGAAGGCAAAGCGCAAATTAGGTTTCATTACTGGAACATGTCTCAAGGCTTCATTTGAAGCTGAATTGCATGAAGAATGGGAGACATGCAATGCTATAGTGCATTCATGGATTATGAATTCAGTATCGAAGGATCTACTGAGTGGTATTATCTATGCCTCTGACGCACATGCAGTGTGGGAGGATCTTCAGGAACGCTTTGACAAAGTAAATCGAGTGAGAATTTTCCAATTGCACAGAGGAATCTCTAGGTTGACACAGGGATCTGACTCTGTTGCTGTATATTTCACAAAACTGAAGGAACTATGGGCTGAATATGATGTGCTTGTACCTTTTCCAAATTGTGGTTGTAAGAAATCGAAGGAATATGTTGAGCAATTGCACCAGCAGAGATTGATGCAGTTTTTAGATGGATTGAATGACACTTATGAACAAGCTCAAAGGCAAATTTTGATGAAGACGACTGAACCAACACTGAATCAGGCATATGCTATGATCACATAGGATGAGAGCCAGCAGTTTGTGGGAGGCAGTGCTATGGCAGAGAAGGTAGATCCTATGGCAATGCAAGTTGGGAGAGGTCAAGGTTTTCGAGGGAAGAAACAGTTCCTACAGTGTGAGCATTGTCATATGAAAGGCCACACTAAGGAGAACTGCTTCAAAATAATTGGATATCCTGAGGATTTTAGAGGAAAGAAGAGTTATCAATCTAAGGAGTATAGGCCCAAGGGACATTATGTTGCAGCCAACAATGTGGAGCTATCAGGATCTTAAAACTCACAAGGAACAACATTGCAGAAAGGAGACTATTTCTTTACTGAGGCACAGTACCAACAGATACTTCACCTGCTTAATAGAGATGCTGCAGCTTCAGATACACAGACACAAGCAAACATGGCAGGTAACATTGCATCTCTTACTGCAAAAGTGTATAATGATAATTGGATAGTGGATTCAGGGGCCACACATCACATAGCATCATCATTAGATCTTCTTCAAGATGTCAGGAACATAGATAATCATAAAGGAGAATAGGTGAGACTACCAAATAGGGATAGAACTGATGTTACACATGTTTTAGTACACAAATTTCTGAAGAAACTAAACTGGACAATGTGTTGTATGTCCCAGATTTTAAGTTCAACTTAATGTCAATCTCAAAGTTGACTAAGGACTTACAGTGTGGTGCTTTATTCCTGCCCAAAATATGTGTATTTCAGCATCTTTACACTGGCAGGGTGAAGGGGATTGGTAAGGAGACTGGTGGTCTTTACCTGATAAGAGGAAGAAGAACAACACAGATAGTTGCTCATATCGATTCAGTGGAGAGAAATAAAGACAGAGATACTGGAGAACTCTGGCACAAACGATTAGGACATCCTTCATTACCAGTAATGCACCATATTTCTTTTCTGCATAATAAGATAGACAATGCTATACACAACAAGTGTTCTGTTTTTCCATTAGCCAAGCAGCATAGGCTAGCTTTTCCAAATAGTGAACATTTAAGTACTGCACCTTTTCAACTGGTGCACATGGATGTATGGGGACCTTATAAGGTAGCTACTCATGATAATAAGCACTATTTCCTTACAGTGGTTGATGATTTTACTAGAGCCACCTGGATTTTTCTTATTCAATTGAAAAGTGAAACAATTATATTCCTCAAATAATTTTTTAGTATGGTGCAGAATCAGTTTGGTGTTTGTATTAAAACTGTTAGAACAGATAATGGGAAGGAATTCTTTAACCATCAGTGGAATAATTACTTGACAAGACATGGAGTCATTCACCATAGCAGCTGTGTGCACACTCCACAGCAAAATGGAGTGGCTGAGAGAAAACACAGACATATTTTAGATACAGCAAGGGCCTTGAAATTTCAAGCTGGCATACCAAGTAGATTCTGGGGAAAATGTGTTCAAACAACTGTTTATATCATAAACAGATTGCCCACTAGGGTATTAAATGGTAAGAGTCCTTTTGAATCATTGTATGGAAGACAACCATCATTATCACATCTAAGGGTTTTTGGATGTCTATGCTATGCCACAAATGTAGTCAAGGAAGACAAATTTGGTCCTAGAGCCAGAGAAGCAGTCTTGATTGGATATTCCACTACTCAAAAGAGATATAGACTATTTGATCGAAGGACTAACAGTTTTTTTGTAAGCAGGGATGTTATATTCAGAGAATCAGTATTTCCTTTTCTTACTCTACAGCATCAGCAACCCATGCCTAACAATCATCTACCTGGGCACTTAGATGATGTGTTTGAGGTAGCACAAATGGAGGAAGCAAACAACACAGATGCAGTTGCAGACATCACTCAAGATGCAAGTGACAACAATGAAGAATCAGAAGAACATGCAGATTTACTAAATGGAACTGATCATGATACAGTTGATAATGAAGACTTATCAGGGAGTGATGCAAGCCCGATATGAGATGCAGTGATTCCAGTATCAGATGCAGGCTAGATATTAGATGTCGTTACTCTAGTTGATCCCTCAATTACACATACAACTTCTGCTCCTACTAGACAGTCAACAAGAACCAAGGCTCCTCCTATTTGGATGCAAGATTATTTAATTGGTGGAAAGAAGAACTCACAATGCCTTTATCCAATGTCAAACTTCCTATCCTATGCTAATGTTACACAGCACTACAAGGACTACATATTGGCTTTTTCAACAGTTGCAGAGCCACACAATTTCAAGGAAGCGGTGGAGGATAACAGATGGATACAAGCTATGAAACAAGAGATTCAAGCATTCGAGGACAACAAAACTTGGGGGGTGGTGGATCTGCCACCAGGGAAATCTTCCATAGGCTCAAAATGGGTCTATAAAATCAAGTATAAAGCCAATGGAGAGGTAGAAAGATTTAAAGCTCGACTTGTTGCCAAAGGATACAATCAACAAGAAAGGCTGGACTATCATGAAACTTTCTCACCTGTGGCTAAGATGGTGACAGTTAGATCAGTGATTGCATTAGCTGCTTCCAAGGATTGGCATCTATTTCAGATGGATGTTTTCAATGCATTCTTACAAAGGAGACTTAGAAGAGGAAGTGTATATGGACCTACCACAAGGCTTTCAAAGACAGGGGGAGAACAAGGTTTGTAGGCTGCTGAAGTCTCTCTATGGACTTAAACAAGCATCGAGACAGTGGAATCTCAAACTCACAGAAGCCTTGATAAGTGCAGGGTTCAGCCAAAGTTCATATGACTATTCCTTGTTCACAAAAAGGGCTGGAAATGATATAGTGATAATCTTGATATATGTGGATGATTTATTGCTAACAGGAAGCAGTATGCAGCTTATTGATGAAGCAAGGGCAGTGCTACATAAGAAGTTCAAGGTGAAAGACTTGGGAGAATTAAGATACTTTCTAGGAATTGAAGTATTAAGATCCCAGAAGGGTATTCTCCTCAATCAAAGGAAATACACTCTAGAGTGGGGCTGAGTGGTGCTAAACCTGCTGTCTCTCCTCTAGAACTTAATCACAAACTGACTTCTATTGAATATGACAAAGGAGTTGGACGTCAAGATCTTGATCTTGCACTGAGAGATGTTACTAGCTATCAAAAACTGATTGGGAAATTGCTATATCTTACAGTTACTAGACCAGACATCAGTTATGCAGTACAAGTTCTAAGTTAGTTTCTGCAAGCCCCAAAGAGGTCTCACATGGATGCTGCTACTCGTGTAGTAAGATATCTTAAACAAGCACCAGGAATGGGGGTGATCATGCGAAGACATCAGGAAGCAGCCTTGGTTGGATTTTGTGACTCAGATTGGGCAGCATGTCCTATGAGTCGAAGATCAGTTAGTGGCTATCTTGTGAAGTTTGGCGATTCTTTGATCTCTTGGAAATCCAAGAAGCAGCATACAGTATCTAGAAGTAGTGCTGAAGCAGAATACAGAAGCATGGCATCTGCAGTGGCTGAGATTGTGTGGTTGAGAGGTCTATTTGCAGAACTTAGAACTCCAATTCAACAACCAGCTAAGTTGTTCTCAGATAGTAAGGCAGCAATTCAGATTGCATCTAATCCAATCTTTCATGAACGTACAAAGCACATTGAGATAGACTGTCACTTTATCAGGGAGAAACTCAAAGAAGGCATATTGTGCACTCAGTATATATCCACGCATCTTCAGCAAGCTGACATCTTTAC